TATCTCTAGAACCTTGATGTAGATCTAGGTCTAGATCAGAAGTAGCCTACTTAACCTGTTTCAAGTTACTAAATCCCACCAGCTTTATGTGCGCATTACCGAACCTTATAGAAAAATCTGTTTTTTTTTCACATGCAAAACAGAGGTAGACTTATATTTTAGCTCAAAATGAACAGTTTATCATCATCACTGTGTTCAAAGAACAAAACCATTAGAATATGATATTGACACGACGGACCATCACGACAGTTACAAGCTCATTACAGGGGCAAGATATAGAAATAAGAATGTATGTTCATCATAGCAAGTATATATACTTGCCGCTGACACGATTAGTGATGATATGTGCGTCTTTCGTTGGAGGGGGGGGGGGGCGGTGGTAGACTTTCTGAAAGAAGCTCTGGTGTTATCTCGCTCAGACGCACTTACTATGTCGCGCTGTCGAGTTTTGGAAATGTCCATGGGGGTCTGCCGCTGCTTCTATTGACCGCACAGGCGAAATCCGACCGGAAATTATGAGTGTGTCTATGTCTTTATCTCCGTCAAACTCCTGAGAATGACTCAACGGACCCCTGGGTTTGATCTAACCCAGGTTCAGAACCACTGATTTAGATTTAGTATCAATGAAGATAGAATATAGAAATAGATACAGACATAGACTTCATCTAGAAGTAGATGTAGATCTAGATCTAGAACTAGATTAACATTTTTGACTTTAAAAAAAAAATATCAAACTTTAATTAAAGTTTAGATTAACTAAGGAAGCGGTGTAGACGGTTCTAACAGCGTTATACCGTTATCATGTAATATGTTAGTGTAATATGTTGTATGTTGACGCTTCAAATAGTCGTCTTGGTCAATATAAAATATGACCCAAAAAAATAAGTTACTTTTTTTTTGCTTGGTCAAAATAAAATATGACTAAATATAATGAATAATTACTGATTTGAGACTTTCTTGTAGACAACTTGCTTGTCCACCTAGCAATACATATCGTTGTTAATTAATAAACCAAAACAAAATAAATAGCTGTGAACCTTCTGAATTTAAAATTTGGAGTCCCTAATCTACTGAGCTCTGAGTTTATAATCTGGGGTCCTGACCTACTGAGCTCTGAGTTTAAAATGTGGGACCCTGACCTAATTAAGTTTGAGTATAAAATAAGGGGTCCTGACCTACTGAGCTCTGAGTTTAAAATGTTGGGCCCTGACCTACTGAGCTTTTTATTTTAAATGTGGGGCCCTGAATTACTGAGCTCTTTATTTAAAATGTGGGGCCTGTCCTATAAAGATCGTTGTATAAATTGTAGGGCCCTGATCTACTGAGCCCTGACTTTTAAATGTGGGGCCCTGACCTAATGAGCTCTGAGTTTAAAATGTGGGGCCCTGACCTACTGAGCTGTCTTTGAAGGATTTAAACAAGTGCGACTTTATGGTACCCAGATCTTTGGGTACCCCATATAGTTTTTTCCTTGAGTGGTGTGTATAGGGGCCAGTGTTTAGATACCGCCTGGTTGTACAAGGGGTAGTCCTGAAAGACGTGCAATGTATTCTCAGGGGCCATGCCACAAGGGCAAGTTTCGCTAGAACCAACGTTTATTTTTTATACATTATTGTGTTGTTTCAGTCTATGGTGACCTGTTCTGAGTCTGAAGATAATGAGTTGTTTCTTTGTATGTTCATTTGTAAAATCCTTCACGATGAAGCCCACAAAAGCCAGCTGGTGGTTCCTCTATCCTTGATTGTGAAGCCATGGGCAAGGACCTGAAGTTTAAATCTACAGGCCCATATAGTAACAAAAAAAACATTGTTGTCCTGCAGTGGAATTAGAGGGAGCTAACAAACTATTAGTTCTATTGCTTTCCTCCATCATAAAATTAAGTAGCGCCTGCCGGCATGTTATGCGCCATATGATATGGTCCGTTGACTCCGACTTTGGTATTCAAAGAGAATCCTTATATCTAAGGACCTCTTCCCAATCCATCACCTGGCTACGCGCTTGGTTGTAGATGGCTCCCCAAGTGAGCTGTCTCTAAAATGTGAGGCCCTAACCTATTCACCTTTTTATGAAAATCTGGAGCCCTAACCTACTCGGTGTACATTAAAATAAATGTGTTATTACAAGCAAATCATTTTTTGAACGAAAACAAACGATGAACTCCTGTTAATCTTTAGGATAAAAGTGAAGCTATTGAACAACTGTATTTTTGTAATTGTATATTACTTGTATCATACAGCTTCCCTTAATACAACATAACATAGTACCAAAGCTCTTCTCCACTATATAATTAAAAGAAGCCCCTCCTCCTTTTCGCTTAAACTACATTGAACCTTTATAAATTTTCAGGATCCTATTTCAAAAAGTGTGAACCATCACAAAAAAATGAATTGGAGACTATTGATATTGAGTCTGTGTTTTATTCTAATGGGTAAATACTATTATAAATAAATAAATAAGTATATATATATATATATATATATATATATATATATATATATATATATATATATATATATATAATGCATTCCTACTCCTATGCTAAGTCCATATTTTAATAACTCCGCCTAAAAATACACGATTGGTAACGCGTTGATGAAACCTTTATAAAATGTTTTATCACCCTGAGTAGGAATAATTTGCAACAACGTGGCGGCTGGTACGCTAGAAAACATATACAATCAATGTGTTACAATTGGAGAAACCATCTCCACTAAAAAAAAAAAAAGAAAACAGGACGTTTTAATTGATGAGGGTAAGAAGGAACTGAGGTGGTAAAAGTTATAATTGCCTGTAGAACATTTGAAGCAAAACTGTAGTCTAAAGTATCCTCGATAATATAATATACATATTAGATACATATTATCAATATATAAATATAATCCGTTTGAAGTATGACAAATAAAATTATAATCAGTTAAAAATACATCTGTTAAAATTAGAGTAAGTTTGCAGAATTCCCTATCCACTATGTCATTTAAGAACACGTATAATGGTTTATTTCTTATATTGTGATGTTTCTTAATACTTTTTTAATACAGGTTATAAGCAAAATAGTTATGTTTTTTTAAATTAATTATGCCTGTTTATTGAGAGATGAAAACAATCACAGCTAGCAACATTGTTAGTCCATTTTCTTGACTAAGATTTAATTATCCAAGCATTCAAATGTATCATTATACTTTAACCCTGATTCAAAAGTAATAATCAATTCTTTGTACCATCGACTTGTTAAAGTTGTGGCCTAATACATGACTCTTATAAAATAATAGACTTGGTTCAAGATGTACATCTGCTACCCACCTCGCAAGAATATCTCAACGAAAACGGCATGATAGCAACCATAGACGGCTATGTACCACGGTGTCCCGGCTGTGTCTTGTTTAAGACAGATGATCTCCTTATCTACGGCACCATGCACGTCCCAAAAGAAAGGCTTTATCTGTTAAGGGGGAAGGCTCCGGTAAAAAAAACTTTTTTAATACTCGTTAGAAAACAGTTATTTCTTTACAGCTTTATTAAGATACATCCGCATATGCTTTTCCACTAAAAAATTTTTTTGAAAATATCTTGGTAACTATGACAACGGCGGCCATCTTGAAAAATTAACCCCTTCGTAGGTTTTCCACCATTCACAAAATATTACATTTTAAGCCCAATAAACAATCAATTCATAATCTTCTTCCATATTTTGGGGTAATCAGCTAAAAATTTTAAGTGTATATCTTCAAACTAATTTTTTATGAATTTTTAAAATTTGTGTCCGTTCAAAACACTAGTTTTAATGCCCCAAAATTCCCCAAAGTTAAGTGTTTTGAACGGACACAAATTTTGAAAATTCATAAAAAATTAGTTTGAAGATATGCACTTAAAATTTTTAGCTGATTACCCCAAAATATGGAAGAATATTATGAATTGATTGTTTATTGGGCTTAAAGTGTAATATTTTATGAATGGTGGAAAACCTACGAAGGGGTTAATTTTTCAAGATGGCCGCCGTTGTCATAGTTACCAAGATATTTTCAAAATTTTTTTTTAGTGGAAAAGCATATGCGGATGTATCTTAATAAAGCTGTAAAGAAATAACTGTTTTCTAACGAGTATTAAAAAAGTTTTTTTTTTACCGGAGCCTTCCCCCTTAAATACTGGGCGATTTTACGTCGAACGTTGTGGTTATCCAGAGGATGATAAGTGTTCAGAATATAAACGGGATTGGCATCTGGTCTGTATAAATTGTTTTTATTTCCTTTCGATAATTTTTAAATAATTTTTGTTATAAGGAAATGCTTTTATTTTTTTAAAGAATTTAATTGATCAAATTTGATCCGATTCACATAATCCAACGTAACATTAAACATAAATCTTTACAAAAGTTATTTCAAAAAGCTAAATCCAAGTATCAATTTATTTCTATTTTTTGGAATGAAAATGTTTATTCAAACTTTACTTTTCGCTTCTACCTGACATAAACCTCAGCCAAAATCGTATTGGTAATATTTCCTAAATTGCTGATTACCAGGTAATTATTTGACGCGTGTTTTACGGAATGAAAGATACATTAAATCGAATAATTACCGTAAAGCTTCAAGTCTGATGTCGAAATTCGATCGCAAATCATAGAGCTGGACGTGTGTATTTACTTTCGCCAAAAACCTGAAACTGACTCATCGAACACTTTGGTTCCATCGAACCTAGAATAAATACCACTGGAATAATGGTTTATATCTTGGTGTCCCATCCTCTAGAAAAGTATACAATTGTTCTTAAATAGGAAGTTATCTAAAAAAATTAAAATGTGAAAAGGCATATTTTCTGTGTAACTTTTTCAATATGATTTCAAACCCACCTTGGTTCGGTGAATGGTGTTTTTGACCAACCTTAGCTCTATTTACTCTATTTCTGTGGTCTAAAATATCGATAACTTGAGTACCGTTTCAGTAATGTGGACGAAATTTTAAAGTTAGATACAAGATCTTATTTCCTTGATTCTCTGAAACTTTAAATGATTTCAGTTTGAACGAAGGAATTTCTTTACGCTATTTCCGATTTCTTAAAAGGATTACTTCTGCCGGACCGATTTCTTCAAAACTTTTCACGTAGGTGAAGACTCGACGACTACGCACGGTTACAAAAATTGTGACTTAATTAGATGTTTAATAATTTTTAGAAAATTTACCATCGTTTTGTTAAGTATTAATTTTTCACTTAATTATGCAAACATTGTTTACGTCCATTAAGTGAACTGTTCCCTTTTCTACTCTACTAGCCATCGGTACCCGTTACACGTGAACTATAGGCATATATATTTTAATGTTATACTTTGTTGAGGAAAATATTTATAAAACAGATATGGTCATAACGCAATGTGCTTTACTACACGTTCAACGATATTAGTGACAAAGCAAAGCAATAACTAAATAGCTAAAAATACGATACATTTAAAATAACATAGGCTACCAATACATATTAGAAAAACCAAATTATATAAATTATTAGTCAACACAACACCATAGTAAATGCACATACTGATTTAAAAAGTTAAATGATTCCGTTAAAAACAAGACTGTTCAATGGTATTTATGTTGTTTATTGAAGTAATTTTGGACGAGAAAACTGTTTACATTTCCTAGCGTACGTCTTAATACGTAGATCTATAGATCTGGATCGAATTTGAATGAAATAGTTCATTTCTTCATATTCTAAAATTGGAAGATGACGCCATTAGTTTTGTGTTCTTTCTGTAGCTAAAACATTGGCATGTGACGTTTTTGTTTATTGCGTTTTTGTCAAAACAATAAACACTTTTCCGGTTGCTTAATTAAAATGCGTTTCTACATTGGAATATGCCTTTATTTTTATTTTACTTCTTTAAATAAAAATCAGTTTATACATTTAAAATATACACCATATTATTTACAACAAAAGTCAGTAACTTTATGCTCTCCATATATTGCTGAATTTACTGATCACATAACCTCAGAAATGTTGCGGACACACACACACACAGAGAGAGAGAGAGAGAGAGAGAGAGAGAGAGAGAGAGAGAGAGAGGAGTGCACACGTGGTATTTTATATATTAGGATTCTATTTTTTGTAAAAAGCGGGTTTGATCTCCGCTAAACTTTCTCAAATATTCTTGGATAAAAGTAATACAAAGTATAGAGGAAGTATTTTAATCGTGCAAAAAAAAAATCCCTCAGTCGGAAAAACATAGTTTTGCAATTGTGTCCGTAAGTCTGTGTGTATGTGTGTATTTGTGTGTGTATGTGTGTCTGTGAACACGATAAATTGAGAACAGTTACAGCTAGGTTGATGAAATTTAGTATATAAGTATTATATCAAATTCGTAGCTCTGTATCAACTTTTCATCGGTTTCAGGTAAATGGAAGTGGAACTTATTCTACTTTCAATTTTTCAAAAGCCTATAACTTAAGTACTGTTTCAGATAGATAAATGAACTTTCACAAGTAAAAAAACAATCTACTTCTCTGCCTTCTCTCAAATTTTGAGTAATGCCGTAGAGCGGAAGTAGTAATTTACGCTATATCCGATTTCTCAAAAAAACGCATGTGAATTTATAAAGTGCTAGCTGTCCCGGACAGGCCTTCCACTGGCCTTTGTCAAAAACCTATCTGTAAAGGACCATGACTTGTGTCTTTAGTAATCAGCATATACCCGGCATTGCCCACCCTAACTACAGCCAACCAAAACCAAAATTAAAAAACATAATACAAACGCAAACACAAATGCAAACCCAATCCCAAACCCAACCACAAACGCAAACACAAAGAAAACACAAACGCAAATGAAAAAGCAAACAAAAACAAACCAAATCCAAGCGCAAATACAAACCCAAATAAACCGGTAGTGATCTCCCCTAAACTTTCTCGAATATTCTTATATAAAACAACAGGGGATGGTAACTGGGGATATAGTTATGATCTTTAATCCATTTTAAATACTGAAACTTTTAAAAATAGAATAGAATCTCAGTAAAAAACAATTGCGCACCAAGCGAACGCCTAATAAAGGTGTGTATAATAGTGCGCAATAGTATTAGTACTTTATAAATTTACACTAGGCATGCTGCCCAGCTTCGCTTAGGCTTTCGAAAACATTGAGAATTTGCATGCTTAATTAATTCGCCCGAGGGTCGGTCTACGACCTCAAGAGTTATGAAGAGGTTTAATCCGTGGACATTTTTTTTCGATTTATAGCTCATATAAGGTACCGGTCAGTCGAGGTCAGTTTTGACCCCCTCATCGTAGACTTTTCGGCCAACCGGCCCCCGTGTTCTGTCGCCCCAAGGCAAGATCCTGCCAAATTTGAAGCGCCTGCGGCGCCGGGAAGTGCCCTATCGGACACCCGACAATCTAGATCTAGATCTAGATTCCTAAAAGAATTGTTTTTTAAGTTTAGCCCGAGCATAATAAAAATAAATACATTAACCAAGTTGACTTGGTGTGTCTCGAACCCGCACCACCTGCGTGGTTTAATGTACACTAACATCTTCGCTATTTAGGCAGATGACGTCAATAGTTAATGTATAAGCAATAGTGACGTCACAGTTTTATGCGTTCTTTTTCACATATATTAATGCTTTTCCGGTTGCATAAATAATACTGTTTCTCTACATTCGAATACGCCTTAAATTTTTATTTTTCTTCTTTAAATAAAATTGTGGTTATACATTTAAAACATCTAACATATTATTTTCAACAAAAGTCCGTAAAAAATTCTCGATATATCGCTGCCGATTCTGACGTGATGTCCGGCGAAAATTTTTTGCGGACAGAGAAAGAGAGAGAGAGAGAGAGAGAGATGTGCGCACATTGGGCTTTTATAAATTAGGATTAGTTTTTTGAGAAATCGGAAGTAGCGTAAAGTACTACTTCCGGTCGACGGAAATTACTCAAAATTTAACAGAAGGTAGAGAATTAGATCTTTTACTTGCATGTGAAATTTCATTTATCTATCTGAAATAGTACTCAAGTTATAGGCTTTTGAAAAATTCAAAGTAGAAAAAGTACCACTTTCGGTTATCCGAAATTGCTCAAAAGTTGATACGGATCTACGATTTTGATATAATACTTGTATATGAAATTTCATCAACCTAGCTGTAACGGTACTCAAGTTATCGTGTTTACACACGGACACACACACACACGGACACACAGACATACGGACAAGATTGCAAAATTATGTTTTTCCGTATCAGTGAGATGTAAAACGTCGAGATTTGCAAAAATCTCGATTTTTTTTTTTTGCACGATTACAAGACTTTCTCTATACTTCGTATATACGAGAAAGTAAAAAGGTATGCACTATGGTGAGATAAAAAAAAAAGCAAACGTTCATCAAAAACAAATTCCCCTTAGTGCGCCAAAAAAGACACAACGAATTCCACTATCCACTGTGTGCGCAAAATAAGACACAAATAATAAACTGCTGGAATTCCCGTTCTCAAATAATTAAAATCAAATTTAATAATTAGCAAACAGTACGTTCAGTTTATAAAATAAATGTAAGGCAATATTTAAAATACCTACCACATTGCACTTGATCAATCCACTCTAATTTATATTTTTTCCCCCAAAACCAAGACAAAGTAATAAAAACTAACCCCCCCCCCCCCTTCCCGTTGTAATGTTTTTTTTATATAGGAAAGTAATTGTGTTTTCCTAATTTATCAAGGGATGTAATGAATGCTAATGAACAAAATCTAAATAATTTTAGGCACAATTAGAATTTTTATGAAAGGTGATACATTTCCTAAACAATTTGTTTGATGGACATGCCGGCAATTATCACTATAAGTTTGAAAAAATGAGAATTGTTTTACAACACCTTTAATATTAATTTTTAAAATCATTAATTTAGACGATGAGCACTTTAGACGCACAACACTATGACGACGAAGTCAATTTTTTCGTATATCTTTTTTGAATCCGCAGTCCCCCTCTATATACAGAATTGAATTTTTTCGGCATATACATGTGTCCGTTTGAATTTATATTTTCTTAATCACAAAAAAAAAAAAAAAAAAAAAAAAAAAAAAAAAAAATTAGACTAACAATATTCTGCAGTATTATACACATATAGTTTGGTGTTCACTTTGTGCGCGATTCTTTTATCTACAAGATTCTATTCTATTTTAAAAAGTGTAAGCAATTTAAAATGGCTTAAATAGCATGTCTATATCCCGAGTTGCGATCCCCCATAGTGTTATATAAGAATATTCAAGAAAGTTTAGGGGAGATCACTTCCGGTTTTTTTTTAAATATGAGATATATTTCATTTATCGGTCTGAAACAGTACTCAAGTTATATGCTTTTGAAAAATTGATAGTTGAATAAGTTCCACTTCCGCTTATCGGAAAATAGCTCAAAAGTTGATACAGAACTACAAATTTGATATAACACTTGTATACAAAATTTCATCAACCTAGCCGTAAGTGTACTCAAGTTATCGTGTTTGCATACACACATACACACGCATACACACATACACACATACACATACACATACACATACACATACAGAGAGACATACAGACAAGATTGCAAAACTATGTTTTTTCCGACTCATGGAGGTTTAAAACGTCGAGATTTTAATTAAAATCTCGATTTTTTTTTTGCACGATTACAATACTTTCTCTATACTCTGTATACGAGAAAGTAATGAAATGTTTCACATCTATATTTATAGCAGTGCGCTTATTTTGATGAATTTTCGAGAGGATGCAACGCAACAAGAAGAAAGTACAATCAAGACTGTTGGTGCGATGACAGCACCCCTAAACGCTGGTATGCACTTATTCGCAGCCACTGGTTCAAACGGGAAGACACGGCGTTTCGGTTTGTTTTTGACCCGGCTCCTCGGATTGATACTCACGCGGACAGGGCTCCGTTTGAAAGGAACAACAGTTTATTTATAACCGAGCTTATCGGTAGGTCAATGTTAATGGAAATCCCTAGCTCGGCTCCGTCAGTGACCATCTCCTTTCCAAACGTTTCGCGTGTTTTAGTGCCAGAATTTGAGTGAATGTGCGTGATGAATGACTGTGATAATTCAGTGGAGGATCTAAATGTTTGTGTGTGTTTGTGTGCGGGTGGGGGGGGGGGGGGGCTGGCAGTTAAAAGGGTTCAAAATCAGACAGTAAAAAAGTAAAAAATGATATCTCAAATGATATGTTTATGTTTATGTTTATGTTTATGTTTATGTTTATGTTTATGTTTATGTTTATGTTTATGTTTATGTTTATGTTTATGTTTATGTTTATGTTTATGTTTATGTTTATGTTTATGTTTATGTTTATGTTTATGTTTATGTTTATGTTTATGTTTATGTTTATGTTTATGTTTATGTTTATGTTTATGTTTATGTTTATGTTTATGTTTATGTTTATGTTTATGTTTATGTTTATGTTTGTGTTTGTGTTTGTGTTTGTGTTTATGGTTGTGTTGGTGTTGGTGTTGGTGTTGGTGTTGGTGTCTGTGTCTACGCCTACGCCTGTCTGTCTGTCTGTCTGTCTGTCTGTCTGTCTGTCTGTCTGTCTGTCTGTCTGTCTGTCTGTCTGTCTGTCTGTATGTCTGTCTGTCTGTCTGTCTGTCTGTCTGTCTGTCTGTCTGTGTGTCTGTCTGTCTGTCTGTCTGTCTGTCTGTCTGTCTGTCTGTCTGTCTGTCTGTCTGTCTGTCTGTCTGTCTGTCTGTCTGTCTGTCTGTCTGTCTGTCTGTCTGTCTGTCTGTCTGTCTGTCTGTCTGTCTGTCTGTCTGTCTGTCTGTCTGTCTGTCTGTCTGTGTGTCTTTCTGTCTGTCTGTGTGTCTGTCTGTCTGTCTGTCTGTCTGTGTGTCTGTCTGTCTGTCTGTCTGTCTGTGTGTCTGTCTGTCTGTCTGTCTGTCTGTGTGTCTGTCTGTCTGTCTGTCTGTCTGTCTGTCTGTGTGTCTGTGTGTCTGTCTGTCTGTCTGTCTGTCTGTCTGTCTGTCTGTCTGTCTGTCTGTCTGTGCGTGCGTGCTTGCGTGTATGTGTGTGTGTGTGAAAAAATATATATAATATAATGTATATTCTTTTATGTAAAGAGCGTGGCCATATTGTCTTAAGGCGCCCTCCGGTATTTGGTATTTTCAAATCCACTAGCGGATCTGGGTTCTTGAGTCCAGGTACGTACTTAACTTTCCATACTTTTCCTTATACCAGCATATTTAGCTGCTTTCTTTAACAGCCATAGTTCAATCCAGTGTTTCTTCCAGACTTTTTTCTCCGGGGGGGGGGGGGGCACTTGAAATCTTCGAGGGGGTAGGGGCGGTAGACTTTCTTCGGGGGGGGGGGGGGGTGGGCGGACACTGTTAAAAGTATATATTTTCTATATAAATTATATAAGTTTCATTTCGTTCGAGGGGGGGGGGAGGAGGCGGTAGAATTTTTTCGGTGGGCTTTGCCCCCCCCCCCCCCCCACCTCCCAAAGAGATGCTTGGAAGAAACTCTGGTTCAATCAATATGGTTACGGTTAGAGCAAGTTTAACTTTGTATGGTTTTTTCTAGGGTCATGTTTAGTTCAGAGCTGTTTCTACAGTTAGAGATAAGATTAGATTGGAACAGTTGTAGCGTTAGGTTTACGCTTAAGCTAACGTTAGCTTAGAACTGTATGTAGTGTTAGAGTTCGGATTGTGGTTTGTTTTTGCTTATAACTGTCTGTTTTACTAGGTTAGGGTTAAGAATAGCGTTGGCTTTGGGGCTGTGTGTAAGGTTTGAGTCATGGTTGAGGCTTGCGTTTGTATTAGAGCTGTTTTAGGTTTAGGATTAGTTTAATAAGCGGTTTTTACAAGCTTTTATTTACTCACTTCCTCTGTCGTCAGTCTGTCGTCAGTCTAGATCAAAACGCCCGAGCGAAATTTCGGACACTTCTAACTGACAATTTTTTTTCAACGTTGACACGTGAGTCAACACATGAAGACAATGCAACTTGACATTAAATTTGACTTAATTAATTGGATTAATTGGATGCCTAATTATTTTTTTATGAAGTAGAGACATTTTGTCCAAATTAGTAGGCTATCTCATCAAACTATTCCGCACTATTAAACACGCGTCATCACGTTCATTAGGCGCGCAATGGTTTTTAGTCATGCAACTCTATTGTAAATTTAAAAATTTAAAGAACTGAAAAAAAATTAAAAAAAAAAAAACGTTTTAAAAACAAGTTTTTATGTAATAATTCACTAAAAAGTAGAAAATAAATTATACACTATTATTTTAATAACTATAAAGAAAAGTATAGGTCTCTTCTTAAATATTAGTAAAGGTACTGAAGTGACCCACGCTTTTCTTTATCATTATTAAAATAGTAGTCTATAATTTATTTTCTACTTTTTATTGCATTATTATATAAAAGCTTGTTATTAAAACGTTTTTTATGCAATTTTTTTATGGTTATCGTTAGTTCACAGCAATTCGTGTTTGGTGTGATGTCCTATTCCCATGACAGCAACTCTTGTTTGACGTGATGTCCTATTCCCATGACAGCAACTCGTGTTTGGTGTGATGTCCTATTCCCATGACAGCAATTCGTGTTTGGTGTGATGTCCTATTCCCATGACAGCAATTCGTGTTTGGTGTTGTGTCCTATTCACATGACAGCAATTCGTGTTTGGTGTGATGTCCTATTCACATGACAGCAATTCGTGTTTGGTGTGATGTCCTATTCACATGACAGCAATTCGTGTTTGGTGTGATGTCCTATTCCCATGACAGCAATTCGTGTTTGGTGTGATGTCCTATTCCCATGCTGTCCTTTTGTCTCACCAGTAATTGCAGTCCACTCCCCCCCCCCCCCCACGTTTAAAATATATTGTTACCAACGAGGCCAATTGTTTACATTTCAAATGAAGCGGGAGTAGTCTCCCCTAAACTCTCTGTTTACATTTCAAATGAAGCGGGAGTAGTCTCCCCTAAACTCTCTGGTTTATTCTAAATAGCACTACGGGGGATGTATCTTCTATTTTTAAAAGTTTTAGTAAACAAAAATCATGTCTATATTCCGAGTTGCCATCCCACGTAGTGTTATATTAGAACATTCGAGAAAGTTTAGGGGAGATCACACCCGGTTTATTTGTTGTTGCTGTTAATTTTTTTTAAACTTAATTATTTCTAAAGAATAGAATTTAGTAGAAAAAAAATGTGCAACAAATGAACGCAAGCAAATAATTAAAATAATCAGTGGCGTAGCGAGGTCGGTTGTTAACCCATGTGACACCTGATGCGACAACCCCCCCCCCCCCCCCCCGTAAGAAAAAAATATATATAAGAAAAAAAAATAAAATAAAAAAAAAAAAAAAAAAAATATATATATATATATATATATATATATATATATATATATATATATATATATATATATATATATATATATATATACCCCATACATGGATTAACATATATCTTATTACGATTCTCAACGATTCTCAGGTATATATATTGCAACGTTGAGTTGATGTAACTTCTCCCCTTTCGTCGCCCCCACGATGATAGCTTTAAACTGTGCTCAGATAATACTAACTATTTGTAACTATATTCGGTATTAAATTAAGCTGGATGTTGCATATTTTCTTTATAATTAGCAGGTTTACGTCATAGTGTCACCCCCCCTCCCCTCCTCCACCCGTGTCGGAATTTGTCCACTTTTCTCTTAAAAGACTATTTATTCACTTTAATTAATCATTTAATTAAGTGAAATTATCATTTTTCTGTATATATTTTGCTATTTTTTGCCTTGGTGTCACCCCCTTAAATGGTGTCACCCGGTGTGGCCCGCACCCCCCGCCCCCCACTAGCTACGCCTCTGAAAATAATACTGAAGAAAATATTGATTCAGTTTTAAAAAGTTAATGAAACATTTAATTAAGTCACATTTTTTGTCACAGTGCATCGATTTTTGATCTTCGTGAAAAGTTTGTCAGAAATCGATCTGGTAGAAGTGATTTTTTTTTTTTTTTTGCTAAATTAAAAAATAGCGAAAAGTGTTATTTCTATTCACCGGAAACCAACAAAAAAAAATGAAAGAATCAAGCGATTTAGATGGTATAAATATGTATAAAATGGTTTTGGTAATTGCTTAAATATTAATTTAAAAATTACCAATTTGATATTATACCGGTAAATGATATTTAGCTAATCCTAATGAAACGCTACTCAAGTGCTATAGTGTTTACACACACTCAGATATAAACACAAAATTCCAAAGCCAAGTTTGTCCAAACTTTTTTTCCCCTATATTTACACAAGCTATTTATTTGAGAAATACAATCAAACCAGAGTGTTATTATGTTTCCAACACAGACTTTCTGATGGAAATAATTATGCTTAAACTGTTTTTTTTTTGTACTGTAAGATTATTATGAGCTCATACATCATTCTATCAAATTAAATATATATATATATATATATATATATATATATATATATATATATATATATATATATATATATATATTTATATTTATATTTATATAAATATTTGTATATATATATATATATATATATATATATATATATATATATATATATATATATATATATATATATATATATATATATATATATATATATATATATATATATATATATATATATGTATATAGGCCTATACATATATATATGTCTATGTGTGTGCGTGTGTGTGGTAAAAGATAGATATATGTGTATTGCGTGCGTGTGTGTGTGTGTTTATGTGTGTTTTGTACCTATATTTGTATATGTTGCTTAATTTGCGAATTACAATATAAACCAGAATTTTATTATATTTGTCGAAACAGACTTTCTACTGGAAATGATGTTACTTACACTGGCCTTTTGCGCTGTAAGATTACCCTGAGCTCGTACACCAATCTTTCCAATATATATATATATATATATATATATATATATATATATATATATATATATATATATATATATATATATATATATATATATATATATATGTTTAAAGATAAGTGTCGGTGTATGTGCGTGCGAGTGTTTATGTGTTTATATGTGTATATGTGTGTGTGTGTGTGTTAACTTCTATCTTGAATTTTTTACCTTTTTTTTTACATTTATTTATACACCAATTTTTAAACGCTTAAAATCTTGTATACATTTTATATTTAAAAGAATTGGTCATCTAATTTCAAACTTTATTCTTTTTAAAATGAATAGCATCTTTCTAGAGACCATAAATTAATTACTTAAATTAGCGATATTTGGTCAAGGGAATTTGTTTTTTTTAATTCTTATGGTTTTTACAGGAAAATGTGTGTGCCAACTTTTAAAAATATATTTTAAGAAATAATTTATAAAGGCGATAGATGTCTGATTTTTTAAATTTAAAAACATTTTACTTTAAAAAAAATGTGTCAGATAAGTGTCGGTGTATGTGCGTGCGTGTGTTTATGCGTTTATATGTGTATATGTGTGTGTGTGTGTGTGTTAACTTCTATCTTGAATTTTTTACCTTTTTTTTACATTTATTTATACACCAATTTTTAAACGCTTAAAAGCTTGTATACATTTTATATTTAAAAGAATTTGTCATCTAATTTCAAACTTTATTCTTTTTAAAATGAATATCATCTTTCTAGAAACCATAAATTAATTACTTAAATTAGCTATATTTGGTCAAGGGAATTTGTTTTTTTAATTCTTATGGTTTTTACAGGAAAATGTGTGTGCCAACTTTTAAAAATATATTTTAAGAAATAATTTATAAAGGCGATAGATGTCTGATTTTTTAAATTTAAAAACATTTAACTTTAAATAAAAATGTGTCATCATTAAAAAATTAAATTAAATATTTTTATAAATGATATTTGACTTACTATTAGTGTTTTCAATTTTAAATCTTTTACTTTTTAAAATTATGTATCTTGTTACAAGAATTGTGATCGGTTATGGACTGAATAGCAAACTTGTCAATTTTTTAAAAAATTTATCTGTTGACGTGGTTTTATTTTGAAAACATTTAATTAGATATTTCTATCCAAATATTGACTTAATAATTGAAAATTTTGAATTGAATGCAAAACTAATAGATACTTGATTTTAAAAAAGTATATTTTTTTAACTCTTCTTAAATGTATCTGTTGACGTGGTTTTATTTTAAAAACATTTAATTAAATATTTCTATCCAAATATTGAAAGAATAATTGAAAAATTGCATTGAATGCAAATCTAACAGAAACTTGATTAAATAAAGTATATCTGTTTAACTCTTCTTCTTCTTCTTCTTCTTCTTCCTCTTCTTCTTCTTCTTCTTCTTCTTCTTCTTCGTTCTTAGATTTAGTGTTGGAAGGGATCCCCTCCAATACAATTGAGTATACGTATCAACTGATTATACGCCATGGAGGCCATTTTCCTTTTTGAATACGCTTCCACAGTCTTTGTCCAACCAAGAACAAACTAGAAGGCAGCAGTTGTTTGATATATATATATATATATATATATATATATATATATATATATATATATATATATATATATATATATCCATTTTATTTATGTAAGCCCTGCTAGGGGGGATAACTAAAATCTACCCTTCTATGCTCATCTAACTACTGTCCGGTCAGTGCAAATCCGGCTAAACCCAGACTGGTAATAACCTTAAAATTAGTCTAAATAAAAACAAAAAAAAACGTTAACAATTTATCAAATTTATTAAATGGAACCAATCATAAAATTGTAAAAAAAGAATAGATTAAAAAACTACCGACACGACTAAACAAAACAGACTTTAACGTGACAAAACAATATACACAAAACATTACGTTCGACTATTTGATGGTGCTGCACCGACTTACGATGTCTAGGATGGTCCAGGCTCTGACACACAGAAACCTCCCTTCATCCGTTCTCGACATCCAAAAGTCCACACCAAACAAAACACTACGTACAACCGCTACGTACAAAACATTACGGACAAAACATTACGTACAAAACAATATATACAAAACAATATATACAAAACACCCAGCCAAGTTGCACAAGCAACCTCACTGGAAGGGGGGGGGAGAAAAGAATAGGAAAACATAAGTAAAATGCATGTAAAATATATGCACAAAATAATAAAGTAAATTTATCAAGTAAATTATACACACAAATTCGCACCAGTTTAGAAAACCTCCTAAACATAACGATCTAAACCACGTGGTCCACAACACACGCCCAAGGGTTTAGAATATACCAAAATACATTTTAAACCAACAAAAAGAATATACCCAGTGGCGGAACTACAGTGCCGCCAGACCCCGCAATACGGGGGGGGGGGGGGGCACGCCGTCTAGGGGGCCCACAACCGCACATAATCATTTTTTTATAGTTAAAATGAATTTTCTTGCATTTTTGACCTAATGTTGTTTTTTTTTTTGAAAAAAAAAAAAGAATACTGTAGCTGCGGTTGGAATATCTTTATTCTATAGACACCATCCCATGCTCTTGTATATTCTTTTTCCTACAATCAAACACACGCTGTTGTCGGCAAAATTCTTTTGAAAAAACATCAATTGCGCGAGAGGCCGCTAGATATTAAGACGGCTTTTTGAGACCATCCCACATTCGGTACTGATGGATAAAAGTACATCGGCGCTTTTTTGTCCCTTTTAAGTTCCTCCCCTCCCGCTCTTAGCCTTACAAGAAGCAAATAGATATTGCCTCAACAACTAAGCTGGCTCGTATCAGTGGTAGTGTAGACAAACTAGCGCCCCAACAACTAAGATCCAAGAAATAAAGTGCCGACATTGTTTACATTTAATAACAACTGTTCTAGAAAAGAAGGCAAACGTCTCAAATAAATACACGAATGATTGCGTGTTATATATATATATATATATATATATATATATATATATATATATATATATATATATATATATATTAGCTTCGACACTGGCACCTTGATAGTGGTTTTGTAAATAACAAACAGATAACAGATATAATACAGTAGTGATATTATATAGTAGCTAAGACATGCTGTTGCGTAAAAATTTAAAAAATATATATACACATGAGCTGTAGTGTCAAAGATAGGCAAACGTTCAAACCACTTCCATAAATTATTTCCCTTTTTCAAATAGCCAAATAGGGGTGCTCATAAGCTCCTTTTAATAGATTTGTAATAATCAAATTAAAAAGCAATTACTTATCTTAATTATTTTTTTTAAAATAAGTACTAAAGAATGGTAAAGTATAATAATGAAGTGTGGTTAAAATTAATAATATAAATACAAAAAAAAAACTTAAAAATAAACATAACGCGAGACACCATTACTTATACAAAGCTTCCTGATTTATATACTTTTGACCAACTTAATGATTATAAGTATTAAGGCAAACATAAATGAAAACAAAGATTTTCAAAACAGACTAATTTTAATTGCAAATAAAAGTATTTTAAAAAAAAAATCAAAACAGACTAATGCACTCATACACATGACATGTTGTGGTAAGATTTAATTGAATTTTTCTTTCAAAACCCGATCAGGCCAGAAATGAGTATCCTATGTTCGTATTGTGTGTTAGGTTTTTGTTTTCGTTTGTATTTGTAATTGTGTTAGCGTTATGTTTGCGTTTTGTTGTTTTGGTTTTGGCTGGTTGTGGTTTGGGTGGGCAATGCCGGGTTTATGATGATTACTAAACACACAGGTAATGGTCTTTAACAGAAAGGTTTTTCTCAGAAGACAGAGCAGTATGCATGGCCTGAGAGTTCTATCACAACCTTACTGAGAACAGTACTAACAGGGAAAGCTGCTAGTGTATATAATGCTCAATGTTCCCTCTAAGCTGCGCGGTTGCGCGGCCGCGCAGTAGTTTTGAGCTGCCGCGCAGTGATTTTGTAAAATAAATATATCCGTGTATAAGACTTTTAGAACACCGCGCACAGAAAATAAATTTTGCACACTAACTTTCCCCCCTTAGAAGGAATATTGATAATGCTCTCTCTCGGGTTGTCCAAGGCAATTATTGGCTAGTCAAAGCTGCTATCCTAAAAGCTTACGAGCTTACTCCAGAGGCTTATTGGCAGAAATTCCGGAAGCTCATGAAGCAGCCTAGTCAGTCATATGTGGAGTTTTTGTTTTAAAAGGAGAACGTTTTGTCCAGGTGGCTCCATTCGGAAGAGATCAAAGAGTTTGAACAACTCAAATCTCTGATACTGCGAGAACAATTCCTCAATTCCCTCCCCGAAGAAGTTCGTCTACATATCCTAGACTCTAGGTTATCTGACATTAAGAAAGCTGCAGAGTCGGCGGACATCTATACTCTGGTCCACAAGAAACCTCCAGTGTCCAGCAATCGGCACAACCCAGTACTCCCCCTCGTTAGCAACAGTCCTCCTATTGGCCAATCTCATAAAGCATTGTTATCTTCGGTCCCAGAGACAGCGAGACAACAGATAGTTTGTGCGCACACCAGCGCTTAATGCTTTCTCCCCTCAAGCTGCAAGTTCACAGTTGAACACTATTGATCGGGATGACACTATTCCTGACTGACCACAGGATAGGAATTAATCTTCTACCACCTAGGTACAGTCATCGTTTGACTACCCACTCCACCGTCCAGTTACTTCAGAGGCAACCGATTTTCGGGTAAAGAAAAGGGTTGGCTTTCGTCTTTCCTGGCTGATGCTGAAATAAATATCCTTGGTCATCCATCATCTAAGCGGAAGATTGTTGTCTTGCGAGACACAGGGGCTAAAGTTATTCTACCAGTATGTATTACTGATATAACTGATGATTTAATTGCAAAACAAAACATTTTTGACCCAGGAAGGCGTGTAACATCGACATTTGTGAAAATATCGATTTCGATTTATACTTTATATACGAGAAAGAATAAATGGGGTGAAAATGAGTGGATTAAAATTTATTTAGTGAACAGGAAGTGGGTAGAAAGATAAAAATGAAAAGATTGTACGGAAAG